CAGCATGTGCCAGACTGTGTATTGTTAGCAAAACCCGTTGACTTTCCTGATAACAGGGTGTTTGGGGGAGTAGACTCAGCTTAGATATGAACTAATCCTGGGCTAGATGGCTAAGCGCTTCTGGATGATCACTCCAGGCTCGAGAGGAAATGCCTCCTAGCAGTCCCAGAGCATCCCATCACACAGATCTCCAGCTGGAAACAAAGAAACCAAGCCTTCCGCTACAGGGGTTGTTCAGCAGCCAAACAGAGACGTGAGTATCCTTATGCTATCCCCACGTGCCCCTTCCTCTTGTTTGCCTATGAATATTGTTTCCCAGGGAGGATGGGTTGTGCTCGCTCCTGTTGCACATAGGCATCTGAGGGACAGTCTGCATGGGCTTGGGAATAGGTCTTTCCTTGTAGACAACTGCCTGCCCTGTAAAGAGAGCAAATTTGGCTCCTGGGGGTTTAATCCATGGGATAACCTTCCCCAGCTGTGAAGCAGAGAGGGACAGATAGTCCCTGGGGACCGGGGAAAAGTCCTCTTTCGCTCATGCCTGGGAACAAGAAGACATTAGCTCAGGAAGCGAATACACAGTGCAATGAGTGGTCAAACAAGCCTGCTCTCTGTCCTGGAAATGACGCTTCCATGGGCAGAAGGAGATTTCCAGGCCCAGCAAATGTGGGAGCCTTAAGTGCAAACCATTAGTCTTGAAATTATCTCTGCAGAGACTCTCCTCCTGCCCTGGCTCCCCCAGGTCCTGCCCTGGCAGGGCTCCCATGGCACTATCTGCTGATATCTCTGCCCAAGCATCCTGGCAGAATGAAACTCTTTAGAAAGGTGTCTTGAAGGAAGCTGGCCTTGACATGGGCCTGGATCTCTATCTGGCTCTAGCCAAGCTAATGAGTGCCTGAAGCCTGGCAAAAAGCCTATGGATGCAGTTTGGTCCCTTGTAACCAAGAGGTGAACACACAACTCGCAGCTCTGGCTCTCTGCTAGGAGATTTGCAGGTATCTCACAGCTTCAGTTTGCCTCTCTTCCCCCTAAACTTTGCACTGACAGTCTCTGTCCCAACTAAGCAGGTACCTGCTGGTGATGCTGGTGGTTCTAAACCTCTGCTACTGGTGACACTGGCCCAAGCTCACTGGCTAACCAGTTTTTGAGTCTGGATGCAGACAGATTGCCTTGTGCCAGATCAGAGGGAGGTCACCTCCCCTCATCTGGCATTGTGTCCCTCTCTGTCCCAGACTTGTAGCAGCTGTTCTGAGCATTGCCCGAAGGCAGTACTCCCTCCTGAAGTCTGCCAACCTGTTAACTCCTGACATGGTCTCCGAATTTGAGGAAATGGAGCACAAGGTCCAACAGGAGAGTGGTGCGAGCCTGGAGCAAGTCAGGCTGCTGAACAGACCCACACAGACCAGCAGGGCTGCTCCAGCCCGAGGGATGCAGCAGGACTGTCACGGTGAGGACTTGGGACAGTCATTATGGTCTCCTCTGCTGTGCCTCGGTGGGTAAAGGGTATGCTGGAGGGGTGCTTCAGAAGAGATGGTGGTGTCTGTGGGCAGAGGACTGAGAGTTGAGTTTCCTCCTGCTGTAGTCCCCAGCAGTGCATGCTGAGAGTGGCTCCTCGCCCCATTTTTTGGAGCCTTTCAGGCTAATGAGCATCTCTAGCAGCCTAGAGCACCAAAGGAGCAGTGTGCAGCCCTTGTCTCGGGGGAATTCAGTGTGGGTATGCAAGTCAGCTTAAACGTGAGCAGTATTTGCGGTCCGGGAGACTAAGGCAGCAGTTTTGACTCTTACTTTTCTGGCCTGGTTTACTCCTTCTTGGTACGTTTGCCCACGTCAGCCCAGCCACGGTCTCCCACCTGGCATCTGAAGCTCTTCCTCTGCATCCCCAGTGCCAAGGCACAAACCCAGTACTGAAGTTGTGGATCCTGCATGCCCTGTTTTCCAGGGGCATGCTGGGCACTTGCTTTAGGACTGGTCTGGTGCCTTTAGGTTTAAGGAGATGTCAGGATTTGTCCTGACTCTCTCGCTCTGGGTTTAATGTGAGTGTGGTTTGATGGAAAACCGCTGCTGTAGGGCTCATACCTAGGGCTGAGCAGGTGCCTTTGCTCAGCTCTAATGATGGGCAGAGGGGGATGCCCCTGGACCAGAGCAGTGCCTGGGTACGGCTATGGGCAGGGAAGTGACTATTTTCCTTCTCTGCTCCTCTAGCCAAGGCATCTGTCAGCATGCCTGCTGCTGAGCACGGTGCCCCTATGACAAGAGCCACTCTGCGACGCTTGCAGCAACTTGCTCCGCTCGCCAGTCCTGTGCTGAAAGCTCCCAGCCTAGCTAGGAAGAGGAAGAGGTCAGAGATGAGAAGCACTTCTGGACGAGGAACTCCCCACAGCCTCAAAACGCAGGCAAAACGCCAGCGGAAATCTTCCCCGCCGGACCTGAGGAAGGGCTCTGGGAGAGAAGCAGAGACTCCAGGGGTGATGCAGAGCCAGGGCACCCACTCTCCCAAAGAGACCAAGTCCTCCCAGCTACCACCATCTTGCACCCCCAAAATCTGCCCATCGACGGTCACCAAAAGGCGTGCGCCCCTGGCAACGTCAGCCGCCCAAAACTGCTGCACCCCAGCTGCCCTGACTCTCCGCGACCTGAACATGACTTTTGACCTCTCTGAGGACAGCAGTTCGCCCGACATGGCCAAGCCAGTGACCTTCAGCCTGCCCCAATTCCCCAGCTGGGAGAACGTCCAGTGCCTCTTAAACAAGCAGGACGGCCCCTTCGGTCCCAGGTCAGTGCTGCCGCCCCCGGGGTCTGGACAGCTCCCAGATGGGTTACCCTGCGAACATGCAGGACTGCATGTTAGGGGATTTCTCCTGCTTGCTCTGTTTCTGGTTGAATCACACCTGTGGACTGTCTTTGTGGATCTCAGCAGCTGGACTAGGAGGGGAGATGTCAGAAGTAACTCAGCCTGTTGGGTAGGCAGAGGGCCAAGCTCATGCACAAATTGCTTGCAAAGATATAGAAAGTGTTCTGAAAAATCAGTTCCTCTTTTTCCGTTACTGTTTGGACTCTGGAGGAGTATCCTTCATAAGGCTTTTTGAACCCTAAATGCATGTCTTGAACCAGGTGGGGCATTGCCCCTTCCCTGAGGGAGCCAAGAAATTACAGTGGGGATTGGTGTTGTGCAGTGTTATCTTTATTGTCAGCACTTCAGAGATGCTCCGGCTTTTACAGAGCTGGGTGAATTGTGTGGCCCTCTGGAAAAGAAGATTGTGATGCCCTTGGTGACATGGGAGATCTTAAGGGAAATGTTTCCTGTAAAAGATAACTAGGGAAATGCAGGTAGAGAGGAATGGCCAGACCACAACTGCCTTGGAAAGCAGTGGTAGCCAGGCACCTGCCGCCTCTGTGCAGAACTGTTGAGGCCTTATCCATGCTTGACTCATTTGCCCTGCAAAGCTGGGCAGGTCGTGTGGTTGCCTGTGACTTCGATTCCCTGCATGCGTATGATGCTGGCCCAGTTGCTGGCCCAGTCCCAGCCTTGTGAGTGCAGGGGTCAGGATCTGACCTTGGCATTTTGCAGCGCCCCAGAGCTAACCTTCTTTTCCTTGGCTGCAGAGCCTCCATCCCGGTGTTCACCATGAAGGGTTCCTCCATCCCCAAGCCCTCCTCTGTTTCCAAAGTGCCTGCCCAGAAGCGGAGGCGATCAGTGAGGTGAGATAGCAAAGGTCCCCAGCACTCCATGTCCCAGAGTGCTCTGCGTGGGGGTGAGGGCTGGTGGCTCGCTCCAATGCTCTTCTCTGGATCCCAGGGCTCGGGGTCTCCATCCTTGCCCGCATTGGCTCCACCTCAGCTGCTAGGGAAAGC